TTCAGACATGTAGGAAGGTGTCGTGGATGATTCACTCTTGCATTATCATATGTTAATGAGATAGGATATGACGCCCGCTCAGGGTGGTGTAGCGGTTGCCATTTCTGCCTCGTAATTAGTATCCTTGAATCCCCAAGCCTGGGGCCGGTTCATAAGTGAACTTCAAGGTTCTTATACACAAGCCTCATACAAAACTCATAAGCAATTTTGTTGAGGAGGAAACCAATTTCAAATACATAATCGAATTCAAGATGATAATCGAAGAAAATCTCACTATGTAGTTTGAGTTGTAGACTTAATATATCCACTAATATTCCGCTGTCTGCTGCAATTAAGAAATAATCGGAAGTCTACGAAGGCATACTAATCGTTCGCATGTTTTTCTTTTATTTTTGTCTTTCTGTTCTTCACGCAATAACTTCGGTTATTGAAATCATTTGTATCAGATCCATTCATCGGTTCTATTCCCCTCTTTTGTTATATGCCTACATTCAGTCGACCACTTTTCGCAATCTAACATCGTAATTTTCAGACAAATAACTTCATTAAGAGTCTGGTTATTTATTTTGTTATTTAACGACGTCGCAACAACGCTGGTTAATGGCATGTAACGCTTCTTCGACTGCGTGTAGCGTAGAATGGCGGAATAAATTGGAATGAAGGAAATGATATGGATGTGGAATAAGGAGGTCATGACCTCTTTTAAGTTACTTTTCAGAATCTTCTTGGAAGTATTAAAAAGAAGCGCAAGGAAACTGCCCGGGTAGTCGATCTCTGAACGAGTGGATAAAGCCGGATTAAAGGCATGACATTTTATCATAGACAATCTGAAATTGTAGGATTTGAGGTTATCACAGCAGTGAGTCTGAAGTTTGCTGTCTTCTGGGTTATTGCGCCGTGTAGTATGGTAGATTTCCACCAACGTTTCAGAGGTCATATTGTCTGATGACGGAGACACTATGACCTCTGACACGTTGGTAGAAATCTACCAGACTAAACGGCGCAATAACCTAATCTGAAATCTGAAATCGGTGTAGAATTGACAAAAAAGCGTAAAACAAAAGATTAATCAAATACCAGCAGTTTATTCTTGAACAGTTCTAGTAAAATACCACTTACTTAGAAATTCCCTTTCAGCTCCAGTCTGTCTAATACCATTAGTGGTAGACCCTCAAGAGAATCCGGTTCTGTTCTGACCATCGCCACTAGTCTTAAAATAAAAAGCACAGAAAGCCGTTGACGAATTACTTGTTATCTGGTGTTATCTGTTAAACGGTTGTCGATTACGAAATAACTGTGAATATAGACCTACACCTCGTCTTCATTAAGGTTGCCTAGCAACTACATAATAGGTGGAAAAAACTGAGAACACTGGCAAAAGAATTTTGTGTGCGATAAACTGAAGATTAAAGTTAATGTGTGCTACAAACCATTATGTTTTCCGTCTCTTTTTATAGCATTCAAATTTCGGCAGAGAAAGGAAGAGAGTAATAGATGCTGGCATTGAATTTCTCTATAAAAGAGCAGTGCACACGATTCCTATCACAGAAGAAACGAGAAATTTTTGTAGTAACTAAAAATTTAACTTACAGAACAGAAAAAAGTGAATAGTCTTTGTAAAATATTTGTTTCAATATGTTCACCAAATACGTTCATACGCGTATTCAAATTAAAGTACTATACTTACAACACCTAGAACACTAATTAATCCCGATGTCATGAAGATGTAAGTGGTTCTGGACGTATATCTCCCAACTTTCTTAAACAACATTCTTAACCTCTGCAATAGACGAAGGTGAAAGGATACCTTCACACTTCGCCCCGTTTTCCCTCGGTGTTCGCTGGGTGAGCCCCAGAGCAGTTCTTAACACGATGACGAAGAGAAAAAACCCTACCCTTTTTGACAATCAATCAACATTCGTCCTGTCCTTAAACGGTCACTTTACTGACAGAGCCATTAAAAGATTGTAGGACGAAAGGAATGTCTGAGCAGAAACAGGCCGTTCTTAAGTGATGTTAATGCAGGTCAGTAGACCAATTTGTTACTACTACTTATTTTGAAGCGTATTTACGCGATCCGAATACCGAAGCGCTTGTAACTCTCACCAGTAACTCGTCTTCGCAATAAACACGTATGAACGGTGAAAACTCCGTGATGACATAATTTTGACAACGCTGAAAGCGAAAGAATTCGGAAACAAGCTAATCGTTTCAGGGACTGTGACTGCAGCGTAAAAACATTTGGATTAATTTTGTCAAGACAATGGTGAAGCGGTTTTCTGTTATAACTTAACAGAAAAAGGCTACGAATATAATATATCGCTGTTAGGAATGTTCTGACCAGTAACAAGTATTTATTTACTTAGCGTGTGTCATGTACTAACTCCTCATTTTGCCAGCAAAGTGTTTAAAGCTATTATTTCTGTACATAAGTAATTGTTTTAAGTAATTGAATTTTTAAATAGTCTTTACATGATCCTATTCTTTACAAGATTAATAATTCTCAAATGCAGTCTTGCACTAAAATGTTCTAGTCACATCTATTATGAGACTACGAAATTAAATATACCCCATTCACAGATGACACAAAACAAATCTGAGTGGGGAGATGTGCTATATTCCGCAACCTATGCGCCATTTCGGCATTACGGGACAACGTCTAATGTTTTACATTTATAGTAATTCTTCATCAGCCGTCTTGATACCAACTAAAAGTAAAATTCAGTAAGGTATAGTTGGTATAATCCACTATAATACTATTTCTGTGTTTCTGTTTATATTCTCAGGCCTGAGTTCCAAACTGAGAGATCTGTATACTCTGGCCCGCTTTGACTCCACGGAAATCTCCTATGTTTACATTGTATATAAGGCTTTGTTGTTACCATGGCTTCAGAACGTGTTAGTGATGAAAAACTATTTCCAAAGACGCTAAGTTTGGCCACATTTCTCTCAGTATACAATTAGCTTATCACAATCCAAAAATGGTTTAAAAATAATTTATTCCAGTTATTTATTTTAGCGTGCTAAATCAACAGCTACAAAAGTCAATTACATAGTGAATACAGGAATATAAAATAATAATTATAGCAAAAATAATAATAATGTTAATACGGATGGTGTTGTCAACATTTTAAAAAGCAGGGCATATAGTGCTTTATACGGGTTGCCAGTAATGTTGGGAGATTAAAGCCTAAATGTATGACGCTATGATCGGCTGGGCATGTGTATAAAGAGACAAGGAATGTATAAGTATAGAATTCTCTTTTATTCCGAATCAATTTTCCACACGCTCAACCACCGTGGTAAATGAATAGCCCTTTTCTGCTGTCCGAGACCGCTTATTCAATTCATCGGCCACTACCGTTTGTATTTTGAGTCCAAGTCAAGGAACACACACAAGATGGAGACAGTAATGCTTTTCCGAAACATTATTATCTACCCAAAATTCCACAAGGCGTTTTAAAACAGAAGACCAATAACAACATTTAACATGTTTCGAAATGAGTCACAAAAATCAATGTAATAGAGAAATCCATTGTGAGATGTGCCTCAAGTCTCCCGTCTTGGAAAAATTGTTGTATATCGTCATCTACAGAAGCAAGGGCGAACCTTTACGGACGATCTCGTATCATCTTTGTATGTCTCATTTATAGCTGTTCTCTCATTTTTCATTGAACAGTGAAAACCTACTGTAATTTTTACAGTTGTCACAGCATCATATATGTTATCGTAAAAAACATAAAAATACAGTCTTTCCCCAGGCATAAATTTAAAATTATCATCTAACTACACATTGTCTTCACAAATATTTTTTTTTTTCCTGTGAGAATGTGGCACTGATATTTCAAATAGGCTCTCTGTTTATCCAGAATTTTCGAATTGTAAGCAGGAACATACGCAAGTCGAGTTTCATAGTTGACCTTACTCATTTTCTTCGATCAGCAAATGAAATTTTATTACCATCTCATAAATCACACAGCTTCGTATGAACATGCAACAAAACTTCTTGAATCTTTTGTTTCCTTGTAGTTATTGTTTACAATAAGCAGTTGAAGCAAATCTTTAAGAAAGAATAATAACTTCAGATGAATGCATATAAGCGTGGAGCATGCAACCATGGTTACATGAAAGGGTGTACTGTTTTCTTATGTGAAACACGTACCCATTTCCTGCGTCCTTTTGATCTGTGGTTACGTGATGTTAGGTGTCTTGCATGGTGGCCAGTGCAACAAGCGAATGAAGGCTTGGACACACACAGACTTTGTTCTGAACAATCACTGTGTTAATGAAATTCCTGCGCATGTGTGTCGTTAAATAAACAAAGAATTACTGATATATTTGTGTTTGTTTTATCAAAGTTGAACGCTTGCAGTGTTTTTTCGTTTGTTTAAAAATATAAAATTTAATTTATGTGCAATTTGCATTCGGATATTTTAAGAATTATATTTTTAAAAATGTATTTTGGTGAACTGATGTAGGATAAGAATTCGAATAAATAATTGCATATGAGGCTTCAAATGTGAACACGTAAGAATTTCGAAAAAAAACTGCTTATAATTTCTATATTTGAAATTATTTTCGCTTAAATTTTTATCAGATTCTTTTTTTTAAACATCCGCTATATGATTTAATTTATTAAAATGTGAGATGGGATAATCAGCTTCATAATGGTGCTCTTTGTGATCAACTATGCGCACGATAGAGATGAGAAATGCACGCAGTGTTTTAGGTGCAAAAGCTGGAGGTAAGAGACCACTTGGTAGGCTTTGGCGCAGATGTTAAAAAAGTATTTAAGTGAACTGATTCATCGACCTCAGAATGTGGTCCAGATACAGATTTATGTTTATCTGATAATACCTCCTCGTCTGCATATAATTGATGAGAAAGTTTCTTGACCAACTGAGAAAGTATCAGGTTCTGCGTCTGGATTCTGTCCCCATGCATTTAATGCGTGTTTCGTTTGAAACTGTTCTGTTTCCGTACTCTTTATTTCTCCACAGCTACTGGTTGTCTGTACATCTCCACCATACTTTGTTGCAGTCTGCTAACAACTTATGGTAGGTATGCTTATATGCACATTTACACTGAATTATAGTGACTGACATAAAATGCATCATTTTAGGACTTCCATACGACAATAGACCTATGTTTATTTATGTCATGTATGCTATTTTTGCCCTTTAGACGACAAAGCTATTTTGAATATAATTTCATTTTTGTTTCCTATCTCCAAGGAAACATACAAGATGGGTATAATTGTTGGGGAAAAGTCTTTTAGCACCTTGAAACCGATTCTTTTCAGAACAATATTTAAGAATTCAGTCCGCACCGCAAAGAAAACACAAACTTCGCCATTACAACGATAAAACTGTAATTTTACAACGAGTGTCATACAAGAGACATAAGTACAAATGGCACATTTATTTAGCTTTAAATATTGTGGTACATTTAATTGCCACTGGACTTAATAGGGTTAAAAATGTTGATGAAACCTTTCGCTGTTATTCCGATAATTAAATATAACACATAAATTCCCTGTGAGGGTGACATGCCGAATCACTGGATTGTTAAATCAGGTAGTGGTTGAACGGTAGTAGCGTGGTTAGAGGCGTGGCCACTACATTGACTGTAAATCAAACAGTTCCCCTCACATTTATCTTAAAATAGCTTCTTTTAAAACATTGGGTTGAGAAGTTAACTACCTGATATTAATGAATAACGTTTATGGATATTTATTAAGACAAAACATATAATATAATTTTCATTAAATTGGTGTTAAAAACTAAACATTTAAATAAACATAGCAAGAAAAATGTTGAATATAAAAGTGGTAAACAAAGTTACCAATAATCTATAACAGTTAAGTTCATAATTTAAAATATATTTAATGAGAAAATTACTTTTTAAAAACGGCTTTAGCGTTCAAGCACATTTCTTAGCCTATGATAGATGTATGCCCAGGTAGACTTACCGAAAGTCATTCTGTAAGGCAAGGTCTTCATAAGCTTTTGACCTAAAGTAAATTTGGAAAAACTGCGACAGTCCTATGGAATTTCAGTAATGCGTATTTAATGTGACTTCAGAGCTTTTACTTCTGATCATACAAAACGGAGGTAAATCATCTAATCAACATAATCATAACCTCATAACACGAGACAATCTCTCATGCAAGTCTTTTAGACGTAAGATTTGAGGTATTCACAGCGGTGTGTATGAAGATTTCTGTCTTCTGGGTTGTTGCCTCCGTCATCAGGGCGATTCATCGCCCTGATGATGGAGACAGTATGACCTCTGAAACGTTGGTTAACATCGACCAGACTACACAGCTCAACAACCCAGAAGGCATAAATCTTCAAGTCTTTTAGACAATGACTGCATGTCCTTCTTTCAGCCAATTCCTCGACACGTAAGCAGCCCATATAGAGTATTGTTGCGTGCAATACAGTAGCGTATTATGAAAACAAGCAAGAGTCCACTGTGGCCTTACTCATACGTCTTTGTGTCCTTGTTGATTGCAGACGGTTCTGTTGAATGTCCACAGCAACGCCATTCCATAGCGTGTAAAGTGCGCGTCCCGGCTCTAAGTATATGTAACTGCCTCTATAAACACATACGAAGTGTACGAGCGTGTGTGCCACGCTACAGACTGCTGTATTTAGGGATATGACGTCAAACTATAGGCCTTTGAAGAATGTTCAGACACACTCTATTTTTGTATGGATGTATGGTTTATGAACAAATGAAACGGAAAGCCTCGGACATCAACATTGGAATTCCACTACCTAATTCCTTGAAATGCCTGAATACTGTTTGTTTAAAGTAGAGATACTTTGATTCCTGCAAACATACACACACAAACACAAACAAAATTAAGTTTATAATTTTTACATTACTTTATATTGTGGGTGACACATATTTTTCAAATAGGAGCCTTCTGTCTTTTGTTTTTCCCTAGAAGGTGAGCATTTACGATCATTATCATCATCATTATCAGCCTTCTACGTGTTATGCCCAGTTGCCTGTTACGGTCCCATGCCAGTGTTTGTAGGGCCTCACGAAAGATCTATGTTTATTGCCCATTACGTTGAGCGGGGCTTTAGAAAACGTGAATTTTCCAGAAAACTTGGTAATTATCAATTAATTCCATGATTGGTTCTGCATTTCATTTCTTCGTTGACTAAATTGATTCTATAGTCAAGACTGGTATAGACTTTTGTTGTCTTTATGAATTCGAAGTCCCCTGCCTTGATTACGTTTTCATCTCTTCATTATGCTCTTAGAGAATAAAACTGATTGCCTTCCATTATAAAATTTGCTAGAGTACGGATATCAGCAAGTATTATTAGACACTACTCTACTTTAATATACGCCATCTCCTGGATGTCAGCCCCTCAGATAATTGTGTTTTTGTTTCCAAAGAATTCCTCTGCAACAAAAATTATGTTTCACTAACTGACATTTTTCAATCCTTCAAGCACTGCTTAATTAATATAGACTATTCTTGTTCTTTTTTCACAGGATTTGTAGTTTTTATATCTGTGTCCTGGTTTTATTTGTTTTCTGTACTTCTTACCGTGTTTTACTCTGTTAATCGTACTTTGCTTCTGTTCCATTGCTTGCCTGTGATTGGTTTTTCTGTTGCTGTGAAACACAAATAAATAAATAAACAAAATTGAATTTAATTATTTCTACATTCCTGGTCTGCATTGTTTAAAAAATATTTGAAAAATAAATCTGCTAGTAATCTAAGTAAACACATACTTAAGAAATTTTAGCGGAAAACGCGCCATGTCTTATTATAGATGAAAAAGAAGCATTATAGCAAGTAAACAGAGAAACGTTTAGGCCACAAAAATTGTTCTTTCCTCGTGTTCCTTTAAACAAACGTCATGTGCGGTGTAACTTTTCGAATAGCAAACTCACAGTTTCATGGATTGTGTAAGTAAACGTACGTATCGAATTGTCGTGTTACAACTGCTAAAGTTACTAATTTCATAAATGTTTACATTTGCTCTGAGTCAATGTACAAAATCCAATTTGATATCGATTCATTTTAACTAAGTTATTTATATTCACCGGCAGTTGTGATTATTTTAAATGCCCTGTGTTGTTTTTCTTACCTGTGGATTATTTGAGGAACGCGGGAAACTCGAAAGTTGTTTATGTTCTCCGGGACTAACCTTGTCATGTATAAATGCTCTGGGAATTCTTACGAAGTGAAAGTCATTCCTCTCCAGTGGGCCTCTAATATACTGCCCGTGTCACATCACGGTTCTGTCGGTCGTGTTCCGCAAGTTCATATAATGTCACAGCTGTGCCGTAGTTTAGCATTCTCTATACTCGCTGGACGTATTCAAATATCGAACGTATATTAGTACTCCGGTCTGCGTCAAAACCAGGACACATTGTTAGGAAAGCTTGTTTCTTCACAAGAAATAAATTGGTGTTATAGCACGGAGCAGCTGGCTGCCTGAAGTAGTTCAGCTGCTTAAATTTCGCTTCTTGAAATGAGCAACTGTCTCATAACCTAGCATTGAGCACGACACTCACCAGAGAACCGATTACTCCCTCTCTCTCTCCTGTTCTAGTAGAAATAAACGGAAGTGAGGTAATGAATTTGTAAATTCCGATATTCGTCGCCATATATTAGATGCCGTACAGTCGACTTTAATACTAATAACTTAATTAATGAAAGGCGTACATTTTTAAATTTAACTGCTCAGAATATTAATGTTCCTTTGCTTAAATTATTGTTGTGTGCAACAAATAAACCTACCTGACTCCAACAAAAAAAAAACAATATGCAATTCATATTATATTACTGTACTTTGACATGTTTGACATTTTTAATAATATCTTCCAATTACGGTGAAGTTATAAACAGTAGACCTAATATTGACTAACAGATCTCTTCGTTAGCTCTTATTTTACAAACATAAATATTTGAAAACTTAAACCTTGCTTACTATGCAGCGCGTTGGAATATAAAATCATGCATACAAATAACTCTTTACACTTGAAAGGCCACTAATGCTAAAATCGTTTCGATCTCAAGAGGTCATCATCAGCGGCAAAACAAATTAATTCATATAATACAATTCAAAAGAATATGGTTTCCTACAGAGCATAGAAGGTATGTAATTTACAAAGCCATACTTATATAACACCTCACTGGACGTGAATATTTAGTCCTTCTTCCATACCTGGAATTTTTATGCAGGACTTCAAAAACAAAATGCCATAACTGAAGTAATTTTAGACGGTGATATTAAAGAAAGCAAAAGCACAAGAACGTTTTGGGTCCCATCTAGAATTTTATTCAGAAAAATGGGCTTAAAAGCTGGGTAGGCAGAAGTTACGCTGCTTTGAATATTAAATATATTACCATTTTTTTCAGTGACTGATAATTTTCTGAACAATGATTCTTAATATATAAAACAGAGTTATCCAAGTTCATTCAGGGCAGAAAGAACGATCCTGTCTAATGAGAAATTAACTAGTCTCTAATCAGTTTAAACATTCTGATTTGTGATTGCCACAAGACTGTTATGAGTATATACAAACAAATTGAATTATTAATTGTACTCGTGTATGTAGACGACCACTGCAGTTAAGGGCACAAGTGCACAGAGCAAATTGTCATATTTCCGGATCTTGTTATAAGTAGAGGAGTGCTCCAGTGTCACAAAAGGAAATACAATACGACACTAAAGAAGCAAGTTAAATCAGTTGAACATGGGACAGTTGGATTAGTGGCAGTTCTTATATAGAGTCGCGTGTTATAAAAGAAGTTGAGGTTGCCGACGTATGGCGTGAATGTCCTTACAGCCTAGTTAATTAATTGGAGCCACAAAATTTCCCGTGCCATTTGCTCAACTCTAGCCACATCCCAATTTCTGTCACCGGCTGCCGGTCTCTTTGCTTAAACCACAATTCTGCACAACAGAAGGTTGGGTTTTACATAAATTACAGCATGCACTTGAAAATATTAAATGACGCAGTGGTTTTCGACGGTTGTTTCGTTGTCATGAAGACACGTTTTGAAATTTCAGATGGAAGCGAAGTTACATACGAGACTTGTGAATATTAAAATAATTTAGTGCTGCATCTGCATGAAATGTGTTGCGTGGTTTTTTTCTAAGGAGAAGTTTGTTACACATAGGCGTTTCTTTGCAGATATTTGGCTGCAGATGATGTAGCTGTTATTTCAGTTCTCACAATGACATCAGTCCAAGTAGCCTAAATCAGAAAACTTAAAATTACTTACATCGTTTTAAAGATATAACTTACGTACAATAAGATTTAATTTTCCAAAGTATTAGATTCCTATTAGTTGAACAACAACCGGATCCGGCATAAATATTTGGTCGATGTTAAATTTTAGTCAAGAGTGTTTAACAGCTATCAAATTACTAGCATAGTATACCCGTCAGAGATGAAAGAAATACGACTTATTTTGTACTGAGCAAAACGGTTTATTGCAGTAAATCGCATTGAAAGTAGTATAAAATTTACCAAGTACGATTTCAGGTACACACAACGGCGGGTATGGAGATGTGAAGAAGTCTGCCTTACCTTCTGGGTTTTAGCGCCACGATGTCTGGTAAAGTTTACTTACGTTTCAGAGGTACATGTTGCCTCCATCATCAGAGCGATGATCTCAGCAAGCACCTATGAAAAGTCCGTAAACTCTTACCAGATCTCATCTTACTACAACCCAGAAGACAGCCATCTTCAAAATGTATGAAGGTTTTTATAAAGTAAATCAAATATGAAAACATTTGCCAACCGCTTCCAACACACAACAGACGGCCTTTTCTCAGACTTCAGACTCCCTCCAAATGAAGCCACACCTCACCATAAGCGCCATCATATCCTGGATTGCATTTCTTTCTACCGGGGCCGCCACAATCAGAACTTAATTGCAATGTTTTTCTCATAGCACGAAGAGCGTAATCTTTCATTCAGCTTGACGGCTAGTGCCTTTTATGTCAGGAACAGAAACAGCGGTCATGTGTCTCCTTAAAACTTTGCATATATTCTAATGTAAATCTGTAATTTTTAAAATAGCTTGGATATTACAGCAACTCATCCGTATCCATAACAACGAAAATATCCACAAGGACATTCTGAATGCCAAGGAGACAGGGTGCCTAAGAAAAGGCAGCTTGTGATTCATAACTTAAGAGCAGTAACAGATTTTCACAGAACTGCGTGAGAACCTTATAGGCCTATTCAGTAAACAAAGACTCTTATTTATTCTACGTCTCAGTATGATGCCGCGTTAATGACCGTCACCAAACAAAATGTGAATCGTAAGTATGTTCCTGACAGAGTTGTCGAAAGAACAAATTTTTGGCTGCGAATTTAAAATTTTAGAAAAGTTAGTTACAGCGAAATTATTGTTTTTAGGTACTTGCTAGAAGAAGATACTGTTTTCGTTGGACACATACTAATAACTGAAATATGATAACATATATATATATATATATATATGGGAAAAGAACGTACACTTATGACCAGTGCCATTAAACCGCCATTCACATACTCATACAAATGTGTGCTTACTCTGTAACGGTACATTTCTGTCACATTTTCACTCTTTAGTAACCTTTCAGGAGAGATGACTAGATGTCTTTATTTGCTAAGAAACATTTTTCCAGCATTATTTGTTTATAATTGCTACATATATGACCTACATTCGTACCCATTGTCGATATTTGACATTGCCCTTTATTCCCATGGTTTCTAGGCTCAGTAACAGTCTACAAAAATTTCTTACATCTATGTAGCGGGTTTTTACAGCTCGCATCATCAGCTCATGTGCACCATAAACCTTGGCATACGAGTGATAAGAATCTTAAATATTATGACGGAACAGACTGTGTAACTTATTTATTGCAAGTAAGTTTCTTGAAACCACTACTGTAATCTTTTCACGCTACCCTGAACGTGTTCAGCAGCTACTTACAGCAAAACAGTTCACATGTGCGGTCGCCAACAAAACCAAAATAAAAGTGTACTGAGCATGTTGTTGTTTCTCTGTTCCTGGTAACATGAATTCAGAAATACCTTCTTCATAAGATCTTCCCTTAAAATTCAACTGTGGGTCAACAGATTTTAATCGGAATATAGAAGAATCTGTAGCAATTTGTAATGGCGTTCCCTCTCCTTACATTTCAGCTATCCCGCCATACAATGTACAGCTCGAAATCCTTTTCCCTACCCCAACATGGCGTCTCACCATTATCTGACTGTGCAACAAACCCTCCCCACTACCATTAAGGAAGAAATATGGTCCCTAGGCCCTGCCTTTCCGTTACCATAGTAACAAGGGATCCCAACCAATGAATACAGCTGTGAAAAGCAGGTTCCCACCTCCATGTTCTATATTCAAAACCCTGCTACAAAGGTGGATGTGGAACGTTTAAGAGAAAAGGTCTTTGTCAAAATTATGAATTCCGAAGTTATGGATTTCCATAAGTATGAATTACGAAATGAATTGAATTTACAGGAATATTAAATAGATTGCAGAAAGTACAATCATGTAAGCATGCATGTGCCTTG